AAACCACTCTGTGAGAGCTCGCTGGGAATCTTGTGCAGAGGTGGGTTCTGACCGCAGTCTGGGACTGCCGAGAAAGAAGTGCGTTTCGGACCAGCTCTGATGATGCTTACATTGTTCATCCTGGAGCACTTTTTTTTTTCCTTTTTTTTTTTTTTTTTTGGTGACATTGAGTATCAAATCCTAGGCTTATTTATTTACTTATTTTTGGTACTGAGAATCAAACTCACAACCTCCTGCTTGCCAGGCAGGAGGCACTGTGCCGCTGAGCTATATCCCTGGCTACCCAAGGCTTTTGTACAGAGCTATGTTCCCAGCCCTTTTTTAAAACTTTGAAACAGGGTCTTGCTAAATCACTAAGTTGCCCAGGCTGGGCTTGAACCTGCAATCCTCCTGCCTCAGCCTCCTGACTGCTGGGATTATAGGAGTGCGCCACCACACCTGGCTGAATGGAGTAGCGGTTTTCACATTGTGCTGCATGGAACCCTAGGGGTTCCCTGAGCTGCTCATCCGGCTGAGTGTGTCCGAGAAGTAGTGCCAAGCCTGCTGGGGCTTCCCTTCCCCGCTCCCGGGCAGTCCTGCTTCCCTGTGACCTGTCTACTGAGTGGCATGGCATTCAAAGGCAGAAAGGATTTCAGGGGCAAAACTGTTTGAAACCCATGTCCCGCCGCCTCCCCACACGAGGGTGGTTATTGGCCAGGGTTCGTGCACACTGTCCCGGCAGTCCCGGGTGGACCTGCCCAGCGGCCTGGCTCCTGCGGACGCCGGTGTGAAACGGCAGGTTGCCCCGTGTCTTCTAGCCCATGGAGCACACGCGGTGATGGGTGGTGGGTCACGTGGATTCCCTGCAGGCTCGGCCTCTGTAGCGTGTTGAAGTCACACAGTATGCAGCAGGGGCCTGGCATGTGTTCATTAGTGTGCAGGCTCAGGCGTTATAACACACGCCTACTGACAGGGTCTTAGACAGCAGAGAACTTCTCCCCCCACAGGTGAGAGTGTGAGCATAAGTAAGCAAGGGTCGATACAGCATCTCCGTGGTGTTGGGGACCTGGTCCCCCCAATCTTGTTGGTTTGCCCTCTGTACCGTTTGCCCTCTGTTTTGTAGTCTAAAATGGCTACTTCAGCTCCGACCATCACACCTGTGTCCCTCTAGGCAAGGGGAGGGCAGCTTGTTCCTATTCATTTCCTTTAGTCAGACAGCCATATAGCCACACCCCACTGTGAGGAGTGCGCGGGATGTCCTTCAGCGTCACGGCCTTCTGCTACTAAGGGGAGGCTGACTATTGGAAGGTGAAAACCAGTCTTTGCCGCGGGCAGCGTCACTGTCTTTGAGGGGAGCCAGGTCGGCCACGTTCCTATCAGTGGAACACAATGCCCGACACCCACAGTTTAGAGGGGAAGAGGCTGAATTTGCCTCACAGTTTCAGGGATCAGCGCACGGTTGGTGGAGGGCCTGGCAGAGCAAAGCAGTCAGCTCGCGGTGGCCGGAAGCGGAGCGGGGCAGTAGTGCTGGACAGGAGGGAGCCAGGGACCAGAGAGAGATGCCAAGGCGACAGTCATGACCACCAGGGCACGCCCAGGAGCGTGTGTCCCCCCGACTCCCTTGGTTCACGCTAATCGAGTTGACACACTCACGCTTTACCCCCCCAGGACTGCCCTGGCCCCAGATGGTGAAGTGACTCTGGGCCTCGTTTCCCCACTTGGAAAATGGGACGATATGAGCCCCCCCCCCCCGCAAGGGTTGCTGGGGCTGATGCCCGTGAAATGCCCGCTCCCGTCTCCTCGCACACGCTCTCCTAGGCCCCTCGCGGACTTAGTCCTTGGCTGTGTCCAGCACTGAGCCCTCTCCGGTCTCCTCCTCCTCGGCTCCGTGGCTGTGCTCGGCAGGGCTCTGAGTAGCTCCAGACCCCGCTCTGCTGCCCTGGGTGATCGGCGTCACCCTGTGCCCGGGGAGGGGCTGCGGGCCTCTCTGGGCCCCAAACCGGCTGCATGGTGCCGCCAGCACCGTCCTGCTCCCGATGGCCGCGCTTGCCTGGCTCTTTGGCTCCGAGGCCCTGTGCATATTGGCAAGGAGCTCGGCTGTGGTGCGGAGCGCAGCCCCCAGAGACGCGTGTGGATATTGGATCCCCGCCTCACCGCAGCGCATCAGGAGGTCGGTGTCTCCATCCAGCCTTGCGGGAGGGAGGGAGGCCACGCGTCCTTCGGGGGCTTCAGGATAAAAGGGCTCATCGGGACAGACGCCCGAGATCTGATCTCGGTGGCATTAGGAGGAAGACGGGACCAGGGCACACCGGTGCCACAGGAAATGATGTGGCAGCGAGCAAGCGGAGCAGTGGCAAGGACATGAGCCACGGCCGGGCTCCTCCGTGGAGCAGGGGGACCAGCCGTTTGTCCTCGCGTGGGGAAGCAGCCAGTGAGCCGCATAGCCGGTGTCGGTGTGTGCGTCTGCTTGGGCTTCACAGCGGCACCGCGTGGCTTCTGTCTGGACGCCTGCAGTCAGCACCGCGGCGGCCATGGGAGTCCGGAAGCGGCTGAGGGCAGCCAGACCCTGCCCCAGCCTGTCCACCCCCGGCTGCAAGCTGGGGTGGGGGTGGGGCCGCCCTGCTGCCGGCCTGGTCTGTGGTACCAAGATCCTCTGCTGCGACGGAGCTCATCGCGGTGGGACGAGTAGTCTGGAAGGAACTAGGCACAGCAGCCTAGTCCTTGCTCAGGCTGTGATGGGAGGAAGAGGCTCCTGCAGGCAGAAGCCCGGTAGGCCTGGGGCACAGATTACAGCAAGCAAGGAGCAGGTGCTGGTGGCGGTCAGACCAACCGTCAGGAAGAATTTGTTTCTTTTCTTTTTTTTTTTTGTCTTTTTGAGACAGGGTCTCGCTATGCAGTTCAGGCTGGCCTTGAGCTCACTTTGTAGCCCAGGCTGGTCTCAAACTCAAAAGGATCCTCCTGCCTCAGCCTCCCGAGTGCTGGGATTACAGGCGTGCGTCACCATGCCCGGCAAGGAAGGATTTGTTTCTGTGTGACAGATAGCTAAAGCCAGGGATTTTAAGGAGCATGTCATCAAACACCCAGGCTCCATCCTGCTTTCTATCCCGCCATCCCTGGAGGGGGCGACCTCTTCTCCTTACACTGACAAAATGGCTGCTGGAGCCCCAGCCATTACGTCGGCATTCTAGACAGGAGGAAGGCAAAGGAAAAAGTTAAAAGGGACAAGCTGTTAAATCTGACTTCTTTCAAAATCTCCACTGGAACCTTGGGCTGGTCTCTTAGCCAGCCTGTGTGCCATGGTGACCCTGAAGACATTCAGAAAATGAGGGGTTTTGCTGGCTGTGTTGCTGCTTGCTGCAAAATCAATGTTCTGTTAGTAAAGAGGAGAAGGGGATGGATGTCAAATAGGCAGTACCCAGACAGCCTCACAGGACCTTGTGGGTTGTGGTGAGGGTGTAACCTCTGTCTTGAGTAGCACTGGGGAGCCACAGAATGTCCTAGGCAGGGAGAGTGAGTGGTTTGGAGGAGAGCAACTCCAGGTTGCCTCAGCGGAACCACAGCAACCCAGAGCACGGTGCTTGGTTCTGAGGGCTGCTGTTCAAAGTTTTCGGGGAGCAGATTCATTTCCCAACTTCCAGCCCATCGCAGGCTACTGCTCCGTCCCATTCCCAGCCTCCTGCTCCTGTCCTCAGAAGGCAGAAGAGAGAGCCACATACAGTAGGGGCGGGGCCTCCGCTCACCATGCAAGCTTCCGGGGTGACCGTGCATGTGAGGACCTCGAGCCCCAGGCAGGGAGGTGCCCTCGGCTGTCCCTGTGCTCGGGGCGCAGCAGACACGTGAAGGTAGGCTGGGGCGCCCTTGGCTTCCCTTCTTCACAGTGTGAGGCTAACATCAGCCCTTCAGTACACTTTTCTTTTTTGAGACAGGATCTCTCTGTGTAGTTCAGAACTCACGGCAATCTTCCCGCCTCAGCCTCCCAAGTGCTGGGATTACAGGCATGTGCCGCAGTACCTGTAAATGTGCTATTGGAAGGGGGTGGCGCTGTGACAGGCAAGGAGGCGGCGTTGGTAACCCAACTCTTGCCTCCCCCGGGGGACTCGCGCCCTATAGTGGCTTCATTGAAAGCCATCCGTCCCACCCGCCTGGCTCAGGTGACAAGAAAGCAGCGGACCCTGGGCGACTCCTGGAAACCTGGGAGGAGGAGGAGGCCGCTCGGAAGGGGTGGGCGTCCTCACTGGGTGGGTGAGCAGGGGCAGGATGTCGCTAAGAAGGTGACATTTAAGCTGAGCTTTGAAGAAAGGGGGAGGAGGCAGCGGCAGCAGGCACCCCGCCCTCCTGCGTCTCTTCCCCCTTTCGCCCGGCCCCTGAGCGGGTCCCTGTCCCCAGGCCGTGTCTGGCCGTCGCTGTGAGGATGCCAGGAGCCACTGGTCTCGGTCATGCTGGGCCCAGGGCAGGGCCGGCTGGGCAGCAGGGAGCGGGCAGGCAGAACCTCCTTCACTCTGTCCACGGCCAGCGCTGCTGGGCAGCCATTAGTGACCCAGATGCCCAGGCCCCAAGTGCCCCCTGTGGAACGCACCCAGCTCAGCCCGTCCTCACTGGGAGAGGAGCAGAGCGACACGCTGTTCCCTCTAATGGCGCCCCGTGGTCTCCTGTAGCGCACGGCCTTCTAGGAGCCATTTTCCTTTCCTTTCACTGAGGTGCTCCCAAGGGCTGCTCCCGCTCGGGCCCCCAGCGTGCCCTGTGGGACTCGGGCTGCGCAGAGGCGTGGTGGCTGCTGTGGGGCTGGGCACGGGCCCAGCAGGGGCAGATGTGGCAGGGCCACACCTGCTGAGGGCCAGGAGTGCAGTCTCTGGGCTCAAGGAGGGACGGAGGGGTCCCAGCCCAGGCCATCCTTCTGGGCCGCGGGCCCAGCGCCCGGACGTGGGTGACTTCCGGCGCCTGGAAATCCGAGTGGGGAGGGCAGAGATGGCTCCGGCCAGCCTGACCCCTCCTCCCTGCGGGCCCTGTCTTGTCCCCCGCAGGAGTACAACCACAACTACTACGTGTCCCGTGTCTACGGCCCCAGTGAGCCCCGCAGCCGGGAACTGTGGGTGGACATGGCCGAGGCCAACCAGACCCAAGTGCGGGTACACAGGACCCTGTCCAGTGCGCACCGGCAGGCTTCGGTGAGTGCCCGCCCGGTGCAGGGCGTGGCTGCGGTCTAAGATCTAGGATCCGCAGGGCCCTGCGGGTGCCGCCCCCACTCTGCCCAGACTCATGCTCCCCTGTCCCCACAGAGAGTGGTCCTGTCCTTCGATTTCCCTTTCTATGGGCATCCTCTGCGACAGATCACCATAGCAACGGGAGGTAAGGCGAGCGGCGGAGGATTGCGCTGGGAGGGGGGCCGGGAGGCTCCCTGGAGACCCCACTCCCAGGGCTTCTCACCTCTTCTGGGCCCTGTGGTTCACACCCGCGGGGCAGGCAGGACCTGTCTGGTCTGGGCCCCTGTGGCTCCAAGCAGGCCGACCCGGAGCCCCGGTGGGCGTGGGGCACACCCTCCGCTCCTGCTCACCGGCGGCTCTGAGCCCCTCATCTGTCCCCGCAGGCTTCCTCTTCACAGGCGACGTGATCCACAGGATGCTCACAGCCACTCAGTACGTGGCACCCCTGATGGCCAACTTCAACCCTGGCTACTCCGACAGCTCCACGGTGGCCTACTTTGACAATGGTGAGGCAGAGCTCGGAGCGCCGGGCACCAACTCCGGGCACCCCGGCCAGCCCCTTTAAAGGAACCCCAAGCCAGAGAGGGCTGGGATGGGCCACAGTCACATTATGGGGACAGTGCCTGCTGCCCAGCAGTCTGAGGAGATGACCCAGAAGGGCCAGGCTCTTGGAGGTGAAAGAGTGGTCAGGGGCCTTTACTGTGTCTCCTCACTGAGGCGTCTGGAGAACAGAAGTCTCCTATTCCTGTGTCTTGAAGTGTCCCGTCCGTCGCCCACCCCCCACCCCTGGCGCAAGTCTCACGGACTTATTGGCACGGTTTTTGAAAGGTGATGGATGCCAGGCATGGTGATGTATGCCTGTGATCCCAGCACTTGTGAGGCTGAGGCAGGAGGATCGAAACAATACCATGGGTCGCTAAAGCTAAACCGGCTGTTAGGAGGTGGGCGGGGCCTGGAAAGGGCTCCTCCCTTCACTCACAGCTTCCTGGCTGCCGGAAGTGAGCAGCTCCCGTGGTGGCTGCTTGCTGTGCAAGGGTTTGAAACCTTTAAAACAGGGCCAGGGACATAGCTCAGGGGCACAAGCACCAGGCTGGCAAGTGCAAGGTCCTGGGTTCAATTCCCAGTACCGAAACAAAAACAAAAACAAAACCCAGGAACTGAAGTAAACCTCTCCTTCCGGAAGCTGTAAGTTGCAGGTGCCCGGTGCTGTGCCTCGGGGATAGGGAAGTGACTAGGACGCCCCCATCACCCCCTATCACCCCGAGGGACCCAGCCCGCCGTTGTGCGCAGCCCGGGCTGTCTTTGCCACAGGGCCCGGCTCCCTGCCCAGCCAGGCTCTGCTCCCTCCCCAGGGACGATCTTCGTGGTGCAGTGGGACCACATCTACCTCCAGGGCAGCGAGGACAGGGGCAGCTTCACGTTCCAGGTGGCTCTGCACCGCGACGGCCGCATTGTCTTCAGCTACAAAGAGGCAAGTGCTGGCGGCTGGGGCAGCTGGTCTTGGGGCTATCCCCAGGCTCAGCGGATGGCTCAGTACGGGGACGACGCGGAGTCGGGGTGAGAGTGGAGGCTTGAGGTGTCTTTCTCGAGTCCTCTAAGAGGTGGCTCTGAGCTCTGTAGAGTCCGGGTCAGCCCAAGGGACTCAGGGCAGACGGAGCTGCTTCTCCGGCCCGCAGATCCCCATGTCTGTCTGGGAGATCAGCTCCGCCCAGCACCCCGTGAAAGCTGGCCTGTCCGACGCCTTCATGGTCCTCAATACGGGCCCGGATGTGCCAGGTGAGTCTAAGGGACCCCGACCAGCCAGCCGGTGGGGAGGCCCCCAAATGCTGACCTGTGAACCATATCCTCCCTCAGCCTCAGCTGCCTCCTCTGTAAAACGGGCGAAGAACAGAAGGGGAGCTGCCTCCCTGGGTCCCCCTCCAGCGCTGACATTTTAAAGGACACAGTTCTTTTTTCCTGCCTCAAACCCCAATATGCAGCTAGGGGAGGCTTTTCATTTTGAGATAGGGTCTGGCTAAGTCACTAAGTGGTCCAGGCTGGGCGTGAACTTGTGAAAATGTAGCTGGCCCAAAATGTAAAAGATAGGCCTGGCGTGGTGGCGCACACCTGTAATCCCAGCACTCGGGAGGCTGAGGCATGAGAATCGTTGCAAGTTTGAGGCTAGCCTGGGCTACAAAGTGAGCTCAAGGCCAGCCTGAGCTGCATAGCGAGACCGTGTCTCAAAAAGACAAAAAACAAAACAAAACAAAATGTAAAAGATACAAAAGAATGTAGAGAAAAGATTAGAGTTCTTGCTGGCTGTAGAGGAGCACAGCTATAATCTCAGCACTTTAGGAGGCTGAGGCAGGAGGATCATAGTAGGTTTGAACCCTGCCTGGGTGATTTAGTGACTTATTGAGACCCTATCTCAAAATAAAAAATAAAAAAGGACTATGGACATAGCTCAGTGTGGGGGGCCTGCTTCAAACTCCAGTACTGACAAAAAGAAAAGATTAAAAAATAAATAAATAAAAATAAAAATAGAAAAGATTATAGTTGTCCCTGTCCCTGACCTCTGTCCCCCAGACCCCCTCCCTGGAGTTAGCCCTTCTGTAAGTCAGCTGTGTTCAGTGTCTGTGGGGTCTTGGGGGGCCTACTAAAGCCAAAACTTGAGTGAGAAAACAATTAGAGAAGGCTGGGGTGGGGCTCAGTGGTAGAGCATTTGCCTGGTAGGTGGAGCTTAGATTCCATCCCCAGTATCACAAAGAAAACCTCCAAACATTGTATTAGTTAGCTACTGCTATGTAACAAATGGCTCCAAAAATGTAGTAGCTGGAAACAGTGACTGTGTTAACTCAATTTCTTTGGCTCAGGAAGCACAGTATGACTCAGGCATCTTTCACAGGCTGTGATCAAAGTGTCAGCCAGGGTCACGTTTTGGGGCAGGAAGAGATCTGCCTCTAGGAGCAGGACTCAGGTCCCCAAAGGGGCTGCTTGGCTTCTTGCCTTGTGAGTCTCTCCCAGGACAGCTCACCACAGGGCTCTGGCTCCTGACTCAATAATCAAGATGGCAGATGGGCTGGAAGAGGGAAGCCAGAGTCTTCACAGCAGAGTTTTAATGATTTCTGCCATGTCCTGTGGTTGGCAGCAAGTCACTGGATCCAGCTCACACTGAGAGGGCACTGCCTAAGGCACGGGTACCAGGAGGCCAATTTCCCATCTGCCTGGTGTGCACACTACAATCCTATGCCCCAGGTACCAGCTTTACAGCTTTTCATTGATGCTGCTCCCCCCGCCTCCACGGTGAGGGCATTTGTACCACTCTAAACAAGTACACGTGGCTGGGTATGGCGCACACCTATAATACCAGCACTCGGGAGGCTGGGAGGCTGAGGCAGGAGGTCGTTGTGAGTTCTGAAACCAGCGTGGCCTACAAAGTGAGCTCAAGGTGAGCCTGAATTGCATAGGGAGATCCTGTCTCAATAAGATAAAAACGGGCCGAGGATATAGCTCAGTGGCACAAGCGCCTGCCTGGCAAGCTCACGGTCCTGAGTTCAATTCTTTTTTTTTGTCTTTTTGAGACAGGGTCTCATTATGCAGTTCAGGCTGGCCTTGAGCTCACTATGTAGCCCAGGCTGGTCTCTAACTCTTAAGGATCCTCCTGCCTCAGCCTCCCCAAGTGCTGCGATTACAGGCGTGCGCCACCACGCCATGCCAGTTCAATTCTTGGAACCAAAAAAAAGAAAAGAAAAGAAAAAAAAACCATGTTATCTCAATAACATAAAAACGAAAAACAAAAACAAAAAACAAATCCAGCCTGGGCTACACAGTGAGTTCAAGGCCAGCCTGAACTATATAGCAAGACCCTGACTCAAAAAACAAACAAAAATGAATACATAAATAAACAAACAAATGAGCATTTGCCCCACTTGCCTGTCTGTGGTCACGCAGCTAGGGAGGAGAGAATTGAGACCTAGATCTTTCCGATTTCAATCCCATTGAGCCTTTTTCTTTGTACTGATGATTAAACCCAGGGCCTTTACACTGAGCTCCATCCCCAGCCCTTTTTCTATTTTTAATTTTTAGACCAGGTCTTGCTAAGTCTCAGAATTGCCCAGGTTGGACTTCAACTTTTGATCCTCCTGCCTCAGCCTCCCAGGGTGCTGGGATGGCCAGCGAGTGCTACCTCGCTCAGACATCAAGCCTTCCTTAATCTGACCCACCCTGATTCCAGCCAGGGAGTGAACCCTTTCCTCCTTAGCTATCCCTCACTCCTGCAGCCCCAGGTACATCTCCTCAGGCTGTTCTGGGGATAGGGAGGGAGGAGGGCCTGTCAGGAATTGCACATTGGATGGGGGGAAGAGAGGAAGTCAGCTCCGGGGGCAGGGTGGGTGTGCATGGGGGCTCCTGTGGGAACCTGGGGTGCTGACTGCTTTGGAGCAGGTGGGAGGACACTCAGCCCCGCTGAAATAACGGGGCGGACAGGACCGGAGTTGCCAGGCTCGGGGTCCTGCTGAAGCCACCGTCCTCTGCTCTGCGTGGCTCTGTGGAAGGCAGGGTCTGGTGCCACCTGGGCTTGGGAGATGTCAGCTGGGGACACCAGTCCGGACCCGAGGGGACCTGGAGCTCTAAAATCAGACCTGCGATGGCAGTGGGGGCGCAGTGACACTCGTGGTTTTTCTGGGACAGAGGCCTCCCCGCCGTAAGATTTGAAAATGGGCCAGGCGGCATGTGCGAGGGGCTGGGCGCGGTTGAGCCACAGCACGGCAGAGGTAAAATAAACCAGGCTCAGCCCTGCCTTCGGGAGTGACACCGACCTGTGTGAGGAGGTCGGGCTGCCCTAAGCCTGGAGTCCGACCTGAGCTGAGGGGCTTCGTCTGGATTCGGCTGAGCCGCAAATAACCGCAAATCCCAAGAAGCAGTGGTTACCCGAGTTTGGGGACAGCCCCGCGTCCCCAGCTCTGTGGTCTCCTCAGACCTTCCCGCTGCCCAAGCCCCGAGGGGTGGCATCTCTGTCCTCCTACCCAGCGAGGCTGCTCCCTGCCATCCAAGGAGTGGATTCGGTTCCCCAGCACTCAAGGACCCTCCCTGCTTCCCAAGCTGCTGAATCCTGTCTGGGACCCTCTCGTCCGGCTCCCAGCGCCTTCCTCCCCAGCCCAGGTTTTTCTCACCATCCTTGCCTTCTGCAGAGCATCTTTGATGGAAAAACCTCACTGCCTGGTGTAGCGGTGCACAGGCTTGTAATCCTGGCACTCGGGAGGCTGAGGCAGGAGGATCACCATGAGTTTAAACCCAGCCTGGGCTATATAGAGAGAGTCTGTCTTCAAAATCCAGAATAAAATGAGAGAGAGAGGGACAGAGAAAGAGACAGAGACAGCTTTTAGACGTGCTCAAGGTGTCCGAGGTGGCCCCTACACTCTTCAGTGGCTGAGGGATAGCTGGGAGCCAGTGTCATTTCCTCTATTTCATGGGCAGCATAAAAGCAACTTGAGCATACCTTATTTTAAAACTGACAGTCTGAATTACTGGAACTGGTTAATGAGGCTTTGATTATCAAGGGCTCCGTATTGTGGCCTGCCCCTTGGCTGGCCCTGGAATGGCCTTAGATGGCCCTAACACACAAGCCTCCACTTTCTCCAGAATTTTCTTTCTAGGCTAAACTCCAGGTCAGCTGTGTGTCAGCGGCCTGTGCCAGGCTGCCAGTGGGGCGGTGGAGGACCCAGAGCTGGCTGCAGAGGGAAAGGAACCAGCCAGGCATTGGTAGTACACGTCTGTCATCCCAGCACTCAGAAGGCTGAGGCAAGAGGATGCTGTGAGTTCAAATCCAGCCTGGGCTACAAAGTGAGCTCAAGGCCAGCCTGCACTACATAGCAAGACCCTGTCTCAAAAAAAA